TGATCCGTTCGACACCCCGTGATCACACAGGTTGATATGTTGTTCCATGTGGGCTTTGTTGCTTCTGAGCTAGATGGCCGCTTGTTTACCTTCAAGGAAAGCCAACATTTTAACATGTATTTATATCAGTTCCTCCGAGCAGCATCTTCTAATCTCTTCTCTTAAGGAACTTCCTTTCCTTCAGTATTCAAGCCACAAACTTACATTTAACTCCCTGGTTCTATTTTCAGCAAAATGTCTTGCTTCCACCCTCAACTGGGTCCACTGCTACAGAAATCAACTGTTAACATGGATGGTTAAAGGCTGCCTTCAAAGATCCAGTCCTATGCCTATGAAGATGCAATCTCTCACTGCAGTTTAGAAGAGTTCTGCATTCAGATGCAGAGAATAGCGATCTGAGTCCTAGCTCTGTCACATTGTAATTGCGTATGCTCAAGTCAATAACATTTTTTTGGCTCAGTCTCCTCATGTTAAAGGCATTCTTCTTCTTCTTCTTCTAATCAGCTGCTCTGAGGGAGAAAGATGGGGCTTTCGACCTGTAAAGGGCAACAGTCTTGGAAACTCCCAGGGGCAGGTCTACCCTAGCCTACAGGATTGCTGAGTCAGCAAGGACTCAATGACAGTGAGTTTTTTTCTTCAAGGAACCCTAGAGGTGTGGTGGTTAAAGCTCTTGGTTCTGAATTGAAAGATCAAAGGTTTGAACTCACTAGCTGCTTTGTGGAAGAAGGGGGAAGCAGTCTGCTTCTGTATGGGTTTCTATCTTTGGGAACATTATGGAGCAATTCTACTCCAGCCTACAGGATCACTGAAGGTTGAAAGAGACTTGAAGTCAGGGTTTAAAAACATTTTTTTAAAGGGTTGTCCTGAAGATCAAGTAATATAATGTATTAGAAGTACTCTGCACACTAAGTAACACTTTTCAAGTGTGAGACATTATTAATAAAAGCAGTGACATTTGGGCAGGTATTCAAACGTTACAGAGAACTGCTTTCTTTCCCCAGATTGCTCTAGTTGACAATGAAAAGTTAATTTAAGTGACTCATGCAAAGAAATCGACACAGCTCAACTTGTTGCAAGCTGCTGGGGTTCCCAACTTTTCTCCAAAACCTTCAGGTGAATGTTACGTTAGTTGTCTCACCAACTAAATGACAAGGCAACTTGGGTATGTCAGTTGCTCTTTAGAAAGAGAGTGGCTCTGGTTTAAAGCCAATGAAATTGCTTTTGGTCATGAACATCATTCTCAATGTTCAGCAAAGCCAGCAAAGCAGGCGAGAAAATCCGTGGACCAGCAAATAAGCCTTGCTTTTCAAATGCATTTTCAAAAAGACACTCATACAGTAGGTAATATATATAACATGATATCATCTAGGTGTAAAGTTGCAAATCTTGGCTAAGGGCAGCATCAAGGAAGAACAATGGATACATTCCACAATCATTTGATTATTTCTATAGCCAATAAATATACAAATTTCATTTGAATGGAGTAACAATTATTCTTTTAAAAATTGGTCGGTTCTACTTTGATTAGTGAAACT